CCTTCTCCAGTGGAGTATTAAGGCTGCGCACACACACACACACACACACACACACACACACACACAGATGAACGTAGCGTTTTGGCATGCAGTCAACGCAGTGTGCCGTCATGTGGTTAACCAGAAAATGATGTTTCCGACATCAAACAGCGCTTTGTGTGTATATTTGTATGAGAAAGTTTTGTGTCGTTTTTTCCCTTTCCAATTACTTGCTCCAGCCGTCAGATGATAATGGGGGTCTAATCAAGGCCAAGCCTGGTGGGGTTTACACACTAGTGCTCCAACTTCCTCCCTGCCTGCAGTCCACTAACGGGACAGGAATGATGGCTCCCACATGGCCCAGACACAGAGAAAGACTGAGTGTGCTTTCTTGGATGTGTATAGGGAAGAAATTGTTTGCACACTGCCTACCACTTGGTTCAACTTTTTGCTTAGTCATCAAGCTTCTAACTGCAATGCACTGAGATCCCTGAGGAAACAAGCTATGTCTAACTTCATCATTACTAACCATCGCAGAAAATAAGGAGAAACTCCTCCCACAGGCATTTTTAAACTGTATCAATCTGTGCAATGCCTTCCAGCTCACAATGTGCTGCATTCACTGAGTGTTGCACAGGATCAGAATATATAGAGGTGGACAGAGTTTCAGCAATAATGAAGTCAGGCTCCTCAAATGACAAAAATGCCATATGACCGAAGTTCATGCTACATACAGTAAAGCTGTGTCTATTTTCAATTTTTTTTTCTTCTTTTTCCCCCCTTTTTTTTGGCCCGCCACCACCTTCTATTTTCAATTCTGATCTATTCAGTCAATAATGTCTGTATTTTTCTCATAAGTATTACATTTTACATGTATCTGCAATTTCCTCATCAGAGATACTCTTACTGTGATTTTTTTCTGTTCATCATCGATGCTTTCAGGCCATTTAAAACAATAGGTGTACCTGACAAATGTATTTTACGTGCAATAAAACAATTTTGAGCATCATTTGAGTGAAAGAGTAGAAAGTTCTGCGCTCAGTATAGTAAAGACACAAAAGTAACTCCATAGCTGGTCCTCATTTGATGCTCCAAAGTTCAGAGTAGGGGTGTCAAAGCAGTTTGAACAATAGGTGAATTTGAACACGTGCGTCAGACTCTTTCAGTGAATTTGCCTCACAGTCAGGAGGCACAAGGATATTGGCATGTCATTAGTATCAGTCGTTAAAAGCTTCACAATGAAACATCTGCAATTTCTTTAGACATGACAGGCCAATAGGATGATGCTTGGATTATACTGTTAACTAGGCCAAATGCTTGACGCTGTGTCACCCAGCAACGGTGCGCAAAACAAATAACGAAGCGTTGAAGATGTTGGGATTTGTGGACTACGTTGAGCAACACGCTACATGACACCCATTCGCAGGCATTTTTCAGATGTCACCAAGCTGTCACCCTATTTTTTAATGAATTTATTCAAGCAATACAATATAATATAATAATAAAATTACAGCATATATAGCCTGCTAATGCAAACTCATTTATTCAACAGTGTGAAAAAGAGTACACTATGTCTATCAGTGTTCTTTCAGCTGGCTTTGATTACTGTACAGTTGCAGCATGCACTAATCCCTGTAGACAGAGGTTCTACTTCTTAACTTGTTTTGCAACTTGTGAAATAAAAAAATAATTTAAAAAAACAGCCCTTAAATTCAGATGTCCTATGCAGGAGCTTGGGTGGGTTTGAACAGTCAGTCAACATTATCATTACACTGTAACATTAGCTGGAAAAAATATTTCTGTTGCTTGTAAGCAACAAAACAAACATTAACTGAAGTTATGTTTTTCAACCTTGGTAGCTCAAATGCTCAAGAGGTAACCGACACATTGGTACCTCCCACCTCCACCATAATCACGTACAGGATTCTTATACCCATAGCATTACATAGTAAATTAGTGGTACTTAAAAGAGTCAAAAAGTCTCAGCATGTTAGATCTAAATCATAGGTTGATTCTATCTCTGTGCAACCAGCCAGATGAGTCTGGGCTCCAGGCTCTGCCCATCCGTGAGCTGACAGTCCAAACTAAATAAGGAATAGAAGGATCCCTGATGCTCACTCAAGGGCGGATCGTCTTATTGATAACTTGTTCCTACTGTGCATTCTGCCCCATGCCCTTGCCGACTGATGACTGTATGTCAATATCCTAATGCACATATCTTTCATAATTCATGACTGGAGGATATTACACAGTTGGACTCTCACTCAGCGTTTGACGCATTCTATGAACACTAATGTGAGGTTACATCAATACTGCACAAAGTAACAATGACCACATTGCATTATACATACAAGCATACACAAGCACATGCTACAAAGTATACCTGTAAGTGTTCAAGTTAAACATATAGCAAATTTTAGAGGGGGTTTTAAAGCTAATACTAACATTAAATTAGACATATAGAATATGTCTCAGTCCAATAATGGCCAAATTCTGGTTAAATAAAGGATATACATATTTATAAATTAACTCAACTTTGAGTAACATGCCAAGACAGAAGACACACAACGTGTTTGCAACCTGTCAGCAGCGCTGTCATCATGTCGGCTGTGTCGAGTTCTCTTAAAAGTTATTTTGCAATTGATTTAAAGTTAATTTTGAATGTTTGAATAGTGCTACAAATCAAAAACGCTGATAAAGATTCTATGTGAAAAAGTTTAAATAAAAAGAAGCAGCAGTACTGAATAACTGAGGCATAAACATGAGTTGAATATTTGTTCCATAGTTTGAGCATGATGTTTTTTAGATGGCTAGGTTAAGCAAAGTGCATCCATACCAATTTATTATTAACAGCTCAGTTGTTTATGAGAGGAAAAGAGACAGTAGTATCGGGTCGTCACTATTTTAAATTGTCTACAATTAAAGACACAGTATGCACTGTACTTTCACTGTACTTCATTACTTCACTTCAGGAACATAGAGAGACAGGATCAAAAAGGTGAGACTAAAACTCAACACTATATGAGCTCCAACTCATGACTATTGTCACAGTTTAATCTAAAGATTATTTCCCAATTAATTGATTAACTGTTTGTCTACTAAATGTCTTGTTTAATCTCACCATGATTCCAAAAATATTATGTTTGTTATAACACAGGAATGTATGGCATTTTAGCTTAAAAAATGACTGTAATTCAGTTTATCGAGAAAAAGTAGGGGACTGTAAGACAGTCCCCCCAGCCAGATCAGCAGGACCAGCCCACCACAGTGGATGCTGTCATTGCCCCAAGAGGAGAGGAAGAGAGCCATATTATGTTATAGTTGTAATTATACATATTACTGTTTTAAGTCTCATATATATAACCTTTAAATCCAGTCAGTTCTCATGACAGTTATGATAGTTTTGTCAGCCTTCAAATTAAAGGTTATTAAAAATATAAATACTACTGGCACATCAAAGTAGGAGCCAGTAACAGAATAAGTCCGACACAGTTTCTACTGTTTAATTTGAACTCAGCATGCCTAACTGTATTAAATAGTGTCTGAGCTACATTTGCCAGAAGATGACTCATAAAGATATAAAAATCACAGAAAAATCATCTTTACACAGTTTCTAGCGTCTGAGGCTGGAGCCTGCGGAGAGGATAAATAGTGCTTAATTAGCTGTAATGTGTGTCTAAATGTGTAGAATAGTGAAACAGGTCATTCACCGACATGTTTCTAAGAAAAAAGAAAAGTCATATAAAGGAAGCACATAGATTTCTAGGTGTGTGTGTGACTGTCAGAGAGAGACTGAGAACATGATATGATAATTTAGCCTGGAAACATATTTGTTAAGCTGAATTCAGGGAAGAAGGTGTAGGACAGGAGGCATCAGCTCTCATAGAAACTTGGCGGACAGAGAGTGGGCTTTAAAGTGATAATGTGGGAATCTAGGAAGGATCTGGGTTTAAGTCAAAATTTAAGTCACAAGTTTTAAAAGTGAGGTATGCTGAACAGGAACACATGTCAGTACTGACATTACTGCTGGACGCAAGGTGGCCTGGTCTGATGAATCACATTTTCTTTTACATCTTGTGTTGTGTTGGATGGCCGGGTGCGTGTGCGCCACTAACCTGGAGAACACATGGCACCACGATGCACCTAAGCATTGTTGCAGACGATATACACTCAAAGCAAAAATGGTTCAGGAATGGTTTGAGGAACACAACAAGTTCAAGGTGTTGACTCCAAATTCCCCCGATCTCAATCCAATCGAGCATCAATCAGATGTGCTGGAAAAACAAGTCCGATCCATGGAGGCCCCACCTCACAACTTACAGGACTGATCTGCTGCTAACATGTTGGTGCCAGATATTAGATATTTTTCCCATATCTCCAGTTGTTATGTCCTGTGAGTTTCGTAGGAATTTCTGAGACTAAAGATTTGGATATTTCAAAACTGACTGTAGACAGGTGCGGATTGCACAGACAGTGGATAAAGAAAACACACCATATTTGCTAAATGTAACCATAATCGACCCAGAATCCAATAGTGAATTGATTATAACTGCTGAATGTTTTATTAGGTTTCTACAAAGTGTATTATTTAGCTTCACATACAGAATTTGAAGCTTGGTGATTGGATGTGTTTTACAAAAATGCTATCTGAAGAGTAATATTTGACTCACAGTCTGGTATATTTCTTTTATCAAAGAACCAAATATTTTCCAACACAGTTGTTCATCTGTTGTACTCATGATTCAATCATGGTCCATTGGCCCTTCCAAGCCTCAGAAGTGTTCCAACTGCCAGTTACCTAACATTATCTATGAGAAAAACTCAAGAATATTTACTTCCCTGAAACTTTATAATACATGATGAACACCAGATTGGGCCAATAATATAAAATACCACAGACTCATTTATCACACTTTGCTGAAGTTACAAGGCTAGAATCAAATGTTTACAAACACGGTCCAATAAAGCAGGGAATGGCCACAGTAATGCAATAAGCAGAAAGAAGAAACAAACATATTTACCCAGGACATTTCCCGCAGGCACCTGCTCCAGCTCCTCTAGCTCTCTGCCCATTAGCAGGTAGAGGCTTTCCATGGAACAACAGGACAGATAAGGCACCTCAGGCACACAGTCTGAAGCACTGCAACCCTCTGGCAGCTGGCAGAGATGAGAGAAGAGATGAACATGAGGAGCCAAGTGGATCACAAATGAAGAATTTGCAATCACATCAAGTTAACATTCCATTTCCCATTCAGTTGGGATGTAAAAGCTCTGTGGGTCCATGTCCTATCAGTTACAGTATGTCCCTCTATGGGACATCATCTTTACAGCTCTTGGTTTGTTGGTAATAAGTCATTTTGAACCCAAAACAGAGCAGAACTAAATCAGGGGGAGATCTAGAGAAATATGCATGGGGTGTCTAGAGGGTGACATGGAGACTTTAAGGGGTGGCAGAAATATCTGCTGATTTACTCACAATCACAAAAATCTATATTTACTTGAAAAAGCCCCCAAATGAAGAGATTTGAACTCACAAACATTACTGTGGCACATTAATAAAGCATTAAATA